AGGTATGCTGAAGGTGTTCCTGAAAAATGAGATCCGTGATGCTGTCACCTACACTAAACACGCCAAGCGTAAGCGGCCATGGATGTCATCTACGTTTTGAAGTGACAGAGACGCACTCTGTTTGGGTTCGGAGGTTAAATCATCACCAACTTTGGCAACAAAACCGCTCTTTTCAGGGCCACCAAGCTTATTACAGTAAAGAGTAGAAATAGAATTCATCTGCCTGTTTGACCATATGCAGAACCAACGATCACACAAAATGCTCATGTAATCAAACTGGAAGCAGGGGTACACATTATTTTGATCAACCTTGAGCAACTTTGAATCGCCACGGCCGGATATTTTCGATGGAAGAAGCAACAATCTAGCATCTAATTCGACGAAGACGGCAGGAAACATTTGTGAAGCCGAGTTATTTACGTAAGAGAGTGTCGATGAAGAGAATCGATCAATGTAGATAGGACCTATTGAAAAGTGACGCGAGATTTGTTTTCCGTACTGAGCTCCAATGCTACCGACGCCAGGGAGGCAGCTCCCAGAGATGTTATGCCTTAGAACATGCTGGTGGCGCCGACTGAGATTGGACCCAGGTCTCCTGGGGTGAGAGGTAATCACGCTAACCACCAGCGCCGATATCTATCACGGCGAATGAGAACAACCCAAATTTGAGTTTAGTTATCTCAGAAATAAGAAATAAAGTGCAGGAACTCAGCGATGAGTAAATTTTCCTCATGTTTTCCCAGGTTTTCCAGGATTTTCCAGGGAAAAATTCCCGAATTTGAGAAAAGTAAAGATTGGATTCACTCATTCTATTGGTACTACTCCGAGACTGATAAAAAAATTTCGTCAATTTCCTCTTTTTCTGGCAGATTGTTTAGGTTTTCCACAGGAAACCATGAGACAAATTTACTCATCGCTGAGTTCCTACACTTTTGGCGATTATGAGTGAACTAAACTCAAATTTGGGTCGTTCTCATTCGCCGTGTACGCAAAAAGAAAAGAGCCAGTGTCGCTACTTGATAGCAAACTACTCATAATGGGAGGAGTCTTTGTAGCTTTTATACCACTTGGTTGCACATCATTCTGCTTTAACCTAAAAAGATATAAAGCAGCGCTGCTGTCTGGTATCAGCTCATTTTCGCTTCGGACGGCGTGGTCAGCAATAGCAGCAGTAGGAAGGTGGTTAATCCACTTTTCTATAACCCAACAAGCAACAATTGACTGATCGTTTCAAAGGAGGTGCCAATCGTCATCGCAAATTCTTCGAGACAACCACCATCCGTCGTCTGGCTCGCCGTGGCGGTGTCTGACGTATCTCCGGTCTGATCTACGAGGTGTGCTGAAGGTGTTCCTGGAAAATGAGGTCCGTGATGCTGTCACCTACACTAAACACGCCAAGCGTGAGTGGCCATGGATGTCCTCTTCAATAAAACGGCCCTTTTCAGGGCCATCAAGCTTACATCAGTAAAGAGTTGGAATAGAATTTATCTGTGCTTGTTTGTCCATATTCAGAACCACAAGCCCCCAAACGACCACACAAACTTGGAAGCAGGGGTGCAAGTGATTTTGATTGATTCTCGTAAGCAACTTTCTCTTTGAAAATGATTACTACAAATTTGGTACGCCTACAATTCAAAAACGGAAAGAGTTGAGATAATAGATAATTGATCAATTAAAAGAACTTAATGCTCTTCACATTTATTCCGTCCACTAGTGGTCCTACGTCAAGCTTCCGTTCGTGCCCCTAGGCACAGACCCCTCTACTTTTTCCTCAAGTTGTACCGATGGACAGTACCCAGACATCCAGTACATCCAATTACAGGACAGTACATCCAGATTGGATGTTTGTCTTTTTCATCAGTTTGTCGCTTAGATCGAGATCAAGAGCACATTGCTCTCCAAACCTTGTGTTCTTAATCCCTACCCTGCCATCCATTTGTTACAATTTGTTACCCCTAACCTCGAGATAGCCGCGAGTAATCGGCCCCCGCTTTACTAACGTTAGTTTTAAGAAATTTTGTAATCTAAACAATTACAAAAATAAACGCATTATAAAAAAAGTAATCCTGGCGCGGATGACCAAATGTCTTGGCACGGATTTTGCGGATTCAAAATAGGGATTTCTGTAAACAACAAGAAAGAAGTATGTTTGGGAAGTACAGAGAGTAAACGAAAACCGATAAGTTCTCTATACTGTCAATTGGCAAATCAAAGTTGGCACTCGTGGAGAATAGAAGAACTATGAGAGTGACGATGGTTTCAAAATTTTACACGGTGAGGTATACGAGTGTAATCTTTAAATGCTTTTATTTTGCAAATGGAGCATTTTATTTAAATCTGGTTAGTGCTACGTTAGTAGAAAACTTCAGGACTACTCAATAGACATATAATACAGAAAACATAATTTCTTTTCAGATTTTTAGGTGTAAACATAGACTTCCGCTTTTCTACCACTGTAGCAGTAACCAGATTTAAATAAAATGCTCCATTTTCAAAATAAAAGCATTTTAAGATTGCACTCGTATACTTCCCCGTGGAAAATTTTGAAACCATCATCACTTTCATAGTTCTTCTATTCTCCACGAGTGCCAACTTTGATTTGCCAATTGATTGCAACTCTCATCGGATGGGTGTATTTTCTATAACACAACATCCAGAGTACTAAACAATACATATTAAGAACTTTTTCAGAAAACCTCAAATGTCACCGGTGCCCCCGCAGTAATTGCACCACCTCGGCGCTACTGCTTGTTGATATGTATGGATTATGGACTGGAACTGGTACGGTACCGACCAACAATCAGGATTAATGGCCAAAAGAAAATTCATTTTACGCTTATCATGATCACCAGCAGCGGCTATGTTGTTTAGGGAAACGGGACCTAGTTTAGCAAATTCGGAAGCCGGAAATGAGAACTGATGAGTTTCTCTTTGTAGGGTGAAGAGTAGGTTATATCATATTGATTATGGTTGCAGTTTATTACGAAACTTCGCTAATTGAACTGCCTGCAGCTTATCTGAATAGCACTATTATCGGTGATAATGGTTTACGTTGAATCCGGGTGCATTGCACCCGTTTTACGTTCTCAAGCTTATTTCTGCTCTATTATCTACTAAATATTATCTTCCAGCGCATTTGTATCATTGAAATCAAGCTGGAAACAATCCGCTTGGAGATATTTACGAGTCTGTGTTTATACAAGCTTGTGTATATGAAACCGTCAGTAGGAGATACTTTGTCCCACGAATAGTACAATTGAACCAACATTTGAAATTACTTTCAACGACGGTGCCTACACCTTATATAGTGAGTTCTAGTGATAAATGCTTATCCGCGTCGTTGTCGTTGTCTGGTGTGAGCACAATCCTAAATATAAACAGCAACGACGGAAGGAACGCTACAACAGGCCAGCATAAAATTCTCACTCCAAGACTTTGATGCGTTTGTTCTATGAATGAATGAATGAATGCGGTGCATTCAAACCAACGGGAATTCAGAAGAAAAAAATAAACTATTGAGTCTCTGTTATGAATTGTTGTAGCACTGATTACAAACGAGAACGTCGCGCGCCGTCGTTCGTCCGGCAGCTGCATATAAGCGTACGACGATGTAAACAAAATGCGCACGATATGTGATGGAATTGCATGAACATGACTTCCTCCACAAACGCAAAAGACAAATCATGGTTCATGAAATTTATGAATACACCAACAACCACGAAACGTTATTCCGGAGAAAGTGTATGCCTGCCCATCAGTGTGCACTACGAATGCAGCATGAAGGCGATGACGACACCAACGAGTCAAAACTCAACTGCATCGCATCGCCGGAGTAATTAATATCAATTTTGGCTGTCCATTGGCTTTGAGAGGTATGCACACTGCGCAGAATGGAGCGGCTTTTGCAGGCTATTGCGTACATCGATGCAGATGCAGACGTTACATTTTGGGTTATTATATTAGGTATAAAATTAAAATGCAAGTTTTCAAAGCCTCTCGGGCATTGCACGGTCAAGATGAAATGCCAACGACCAATGTGATTCCTTTGAGAAAGGGATACAGCCCAACCGAGGCCAATACCTATTATCCAGTTCAAGAGCAATTGAACTTGGCTGAAATTTCAAGTGTTTTTTTTTTCGCTTTTGGCTGTATGCTGAATTGCCAAAACACGTGTGAAATTCTTGTTGCGGATCGTTTTCTGAAGGCCAACACGTGCGCGTTGAAAATTTACCACACATTGACGCAAATAGCTGCATAAATGGTCAATTTGTAACATCTGATGCGTACATTATCATACGGCTTTGAGCACTCGAAAAAGAAGGTGGCAAGCCCCTGTCGTATGCCTTTCTTTATAACACAGTTTTCGGTAACAGAATACAGTTTCCCGACTTTCCTTCAGTGTCCTAGCGATTCGATGTGTCTATTGACTACAACTGGCGAAATTATATGGTTATTGAAGAAAGTTCCGGTAGACAAAATGCACATCACTATCGGTCACGGTGGGTGTATGCAAACACACCAGCTACATCGTGCTTTGCATTCATTATCCATCGTTCGATATGTGCATACAAAATCGCAACTGGACTTTTACGCCTCGGTTACCATCCTAGTTACTAACAGGTGTGCAACTTCCCGTTTTATGGCAGTCCTACTCCCCAGGGTGAGAGACCTTTAATGGAGCGCCCAATACAGGTGGCGAGGGGATTTCGAATTTTAGAGTCCAACCGCTGAAAGTGTGTTGCAAGCTTTCTTTCACTATCCACCTATCTCCGATTGGCTTAGTAACAATTAGCGTTTCTTCGTGTGAACACGGGCAGCAGCATCGCCATGAGAGATATCAAGCCATTCTGCAAACCATCAGCGCCAGAGGTTCGTTACGAGATCAAGATCGAATGCATGAAGGCACAACAAAGCATTCAATTTAATTTAGTGTGTGATGTAAGGTAGTGGAACAAACTGTTTGATTTTTCTGTTCTCTTTTCTCGCTTTCCTTTTCGCAGTTTTCCAACGTGGAAACATCGGGTTACGTAGGTTTTGCCAATTTGCCCAACCAGGTGCACCGTAAGTCGGTCAAGAAGGGATTCGAGTTCACACTGATGGTGGTCGGTGAGTCGGGCCTGGGAAAGTCCACCCTGGTGAACAGCTTGTTTCTCAGTGATCTCTACCCGGAGCGGGTGGTTCCGGATGCAATAGAGAAGCAGAACCAGACAGTGAAGCTGGACGCGTCCACAGTGGAGATCGAGGAACGTGGTGTGAAGCTACGATTGACGGTGGTCGATACGCCCGGATTCGGTGATGCCATTGATAACAGTGACAGTTTCAGTGCCATTCTGGAGTACATCGACGAGCAGTACGAACGTTTCCTGAGGGACGAGAGCGGTCTCAACCGGAGGAACATCGTAGACAATAGGATACACTGCTGTTTCTATTTCATTTCGCCCTTTGGGCATGGGTAGGTGTGCAGAGGGAACCATATCAAACGGTGAGTTGTAAAACATTCTTCCCATTTTAGGATGAAACCATTGGACATTGAGTTCATGAAGAAGCTCCACTGCAAGGTGAACATCGTCCCGGTGATTGCGAAAGCCGACGTGCTGACCAAGAAGGAAATCCAGCGCCTCAAGTGCCGAATCCTGCAGGAAATCGAAGACAATGGGATCAAAATCTATCCACTGCCAGATTGTGATAGCGACGAGGACGAGGACTACAAGGAACAGGTGCGACAGCTGAAGGAAGCAGTACCGTTTGCGGTGTGTGGCTCCACCACGCTGCTGGAGGTTAAGGGGCGCAAGGTTCGCGGCCGGTTGTACCCGTGGGGAGTGGTGGAGGTGGAAAATCCCGAGCATTGCGATTTTATCAAACTGCGGACGATGTTGATGTGAGTATTGAAATTTTTTTGCTAAAGATTTTTGACTTCTGATTAATGCCATACATGATGCGTAAATTTTGAATTGTTTAGATTTTTTTTCTCTATTCTGGTTTACTGATAACTTCACAGGTCTATTCTGCGGGTCCGTGTCATCAGTGTCCCTAGTGAGGTGACAAAAGTCACGTCGTGTGAGGTGACTCTCCGTGCATATCAAATGAAGGGTAGCCTCACATGAAATTTACTTTTGTCACTTCATTAGTGACAGCGAGTCACACTAATGAGTAACTGCAGGTTTTCCCAAATATGAGTAAATTTCGTATGGAAAGAAAATGCTGAATTCAGTCGCTGAGTCGTTTTGATTGGCCGTGTTAGAAGTACAGTAAATAGAAGAGTAGGGTTCAAAGGAAATTTTCAATAGAATTCTTAGGAGGATGCCAAGGAAATTCTAAGAGTAGAAGGAGAATCCAAAGGGAATTCTGATAATAGTTCAATGAAAATACTAAGGGTTAACTCAAGAGGAGTTCTGTGGAGTATTCCAAAAAAATAGGAAACAAAATTACAAAGAAATGTCCACCGAAGCTTTGAGGTAAATTTCAAATGAATACTTTGGAGAGTTTCAAAGCTGATCCTGTAATCATTTTAGATGTATGATGATGTATGATAATTGTCTATCACTCATTGTAGCACGGAAACTAAGTCCGATAGCAGTGGGCGCTCCTGACTGTTTGATTTGATCATGCTTAATAACCTCCGATTGTCATCAACATGTCACTACCGTATGCGTGATAATGTTTGCACTAAAGAGCCTGAATTCATAAAGAGACGACATCTTATCCATTTGACAGGTCTTCTGCTCGATTGGAATGACTTTTCCTATGACTTTGATAGATAATAGATGGTTCCAATTTTGACATGTCGTCTCTTTATAAATTCAGGCTCTTTAGTTTGCACCATTGAGCAATAATGTAGTCTGGATCCATTACTCTCCAGGTATGGTCAATCGAAGACTGAAGCAACACCTCGATGCTGGAAATTTCCTTGTTAACCGACAGCGCACTTTCCGACAAGGTTTCGGAACGTCCACCTATTTCGCAACCCTAGGGGAAGTTCTCAAGAACGCCTACGACAGTGGCCTGCACACCGAGATAGTATCGCTCGACATATCGAAGGCCTTCAACAGAACGTGGACGCCCCTCGTCCTTAAGCAACTAATCGACTGGGGTCTTAACGGACCCATCGTTCACTTCATCCAGAACTTCTTGTCCAACCGCTCATTCCGAGTCGCAGTCGGCAACACCAAATCCCGACTTTTCCACGAGGAAACGGGTGTCCCACAAGGATCGGTTATCGCCGTTACCCTGTTCCTCGTGGCGATGAACAGAGTCTTCCGTCAACTACCGAAGAACATACTTGTATTCATCTACGCCGACGACATCCTCATCGTCACCACAGGACCCACGCCAGTACGTACAAGGATGAGAGCCCAAGCGGCAGTCTCCGCCGTCGCCAGGTGGGCCCACTCAGTAGGCTTTGAATTATCAGCCTCTAAAAGCATCAGGTGCCATGTTTACCCTTCTCGACACAGAATTAGCGAACCTCACGATCAAAATCGACGACCAGTCGATACCACTGAAGAAGACCGTCCGAGTTCTGGGAGTTCTCGTTGACCGATTCCTCAACATTGAACAGCATTTCAGGGCAGTCAAGAAAAATTGCCGCAGCCGAGTGAATCTCATCCGGACCATTTCCCGACAGAATAGATCGAACAACCGCAGCATCCGTTTTCACGTGGCGAGTGCAATTATCGATAGTCGCCGTCTATACGGGTTGGAGATGACCTGCATCGCAACGGATAAGCTTTTAGCTGCGTTAGCACCAGTCCACAACACCTACGTCCGGATTGTCTCTGGCCTGCTGTCATACACGCCCGCTGATGCTGCATGCATCGACGCAGGCATCCTACCTTTCCGCTTCCGTATAACCGCAGCTATCGCAACCAAAGCCGCTGCTTTCATCTCGAAGACATCCGGAAATCAAGGAATCTTCCTCCTCGACGAGGGGAACAGACTCCTCCGCACGGCTGCCAACGAAAATCTCCCCCCAGTGGCCAGGGTCCACTGGCATGGAGACAAATGCTGGCAAACACCATTACCGTAAATCGAAAGCCGGATTAAGGAAAGGTTCAAAGCCGGAGACAATTCCGTAGCCATCAAAAGGACTGTAGCTGAAATGTTAGGAGAAAAATATCCCACGCACACTCACCGATACACGGACGGAACTCGCTCTCGGGCCGGGGTCAGTATCGGTCTAGCCGGAAACATCACACCAACCAGCTGCAGCTTACCGCCGCAATGTTCTGTCTTCTCTGCTGAAGCTGCTGCCATCTTCATCGCTGCTACAACGTTCTCCAACCGACCGATCCTGGTCCTCACGGATTCGCACAGCGTCATACAAGCCCTGACATCCGAGGTCCCGACTCATCCCTGGGTACAGGCGACGATGAAGTCCGCGCCACCAAACACGGTATTCTGCTGGGTTCCGGGGCACTGCGGAATACCAGGCAACTCTGAAGCTGACTTTCTGACTGGGGCAGGACCATCTGCCCCCCGCTATACTAACAAAGTACCGTTACACGATGTCAACTGCTGGATCGTGAGCAAAGTACGGGAAGCTTGGGACGCAGAGTGGTCTCAAAACCGCTCCCTCTTCATTAGACGGATCAAAGGGACGACGAGGAAATGGACAAAACAGTCGAACCAGCGGGATCAGAAGATAACGTCGCGTTTGAGAACCGGTCACACCAAGATCTCGCACAATTTCGGTGGAACGCCGTTCCACAGGACTTGCGTCGGTTGTAGAACTCCAGCCTCAATCGAGCACATTCTATGCGTATGCCCTCAGTATCAGAACCTGCGTGAATTCCACGGGCTTTCAAATAGCATACGCGACATGCTGGGTGATCCCTCAACACTGGCAGCAGTAATGCGTTTTTTAAAGGATGCTGCATTGTATTTTAAAGTTTAGTCTTTTTTAATTCCTTTCGGCTGTTGGGACATCTCTGTCCGGTGTCTTATTCAGATTTTAATGTTGTGTCTTAAATATGTTGTGTAAATGTACGATCGAGCCAGGAACCAATTTTCGGTTGAAGTAAACACTGTAAAAACGACTCTGTTGGGAGTCCTCCTTCTGAGGCCCCACCTGTTATGGACGAGATGAACTAGCCTACGGCTAAAAATCTCAAAAATAAAGTCTGAAAAAAAATCCAGGTACGGGTCAATGTTTGTCTGAGGCTTGCTGTACTCGGGTGGCGTTTAGAACAGGCCTTGGCCTTCATGACGGGCCATATTGAGTAATTCAGCGGATTAGGATCGGGGCTGGATGGCGGCCACATATCCTTCACCCAGAACGGAAGATGTTCCTGCAACCACTTCTGAGTGCGGTTCGAGGTGTGGCACGGAGCCCCATCTTGTTGAAATACAACATTTGGCTTCGGACCATACTGTTATTTGATCCACGGAAGAACATACTTACTTAAAATCCCGATGTAGACCACTGTGTTGACCTTGTCGCCTTCTGGAGTGAACACCGGGTCCATTTTTTTTGCCATCGGAAGCCACCAATCCAAACACCATAACGCTAGCAGGATGCTTGATCAGATGCACGTTCTTGTGCTCGTCGGCCACGTCTTTTACCGGAAGAGAACTAATATACCGGTCGGTTCTGGAATTTGATACGGGATCGACGGTAAACATGCTCTCGTCGGTGAACAGGATTACCGGATTTTTTCGCTTAAGGAAGTTCAAGATTTTCTTGCATCGTTCGACTCGTAGCTCCCGGATGCGGTTGGTAATCATGTGAGTTTTTTTTCCGTGCCCTCGACTTCGCCCCGCAATCTTCCTTTACGATCTTCCGTGGCGTAAAGTCACTGATCCCGTGTTCCTTTGCCATTTTCCTTATTGAACGCAATGGATTCACCCGAATCGTCCTTTTGATAGCAGCGATAACCACCTTCGCCGCGTATAGTTGTCCTTTCTTTCTCGGTCTAAAACCCTTTTGACGGTCCACCGGGACACTCCCACGGCGATTGAAATGTCTTTTTGCGACATTTACGCGTGGGACAAATCACGAATACGCTGCCACTTCGTCATGGTGCAACTGTCAAACTAAGTAAATCATTTTCTTTTATACACAGCCTACTAACGGGTGTTCAATAAAAAATGAGAATGATTTCGGTGCCGTCCAGCGCTCTTGTGAGAGCATCGCGACTAAGTTTCGTCGTACGGCTGACCAGGGCCCCTTCTCCAATATTCATTGACGTTTTTCTTGAAGAATAAACATTATGTTTTTAATAAAAAAAATCGTTATAAATTTTTTTTTACTTGCTATATGACTGTAAAAAATATCATTTTTTATTGAACACCCGTTACGGTATAAGCTATAAGTTACGTGCACGCGAAGAAAACCAAGGCATTGTATGCACAGGTGAAACGGGAACCTTATTTGTACGATGGTGCAAACATTATCACGCATACGGTAGCTCTTATAATTTATTTAGATAGATTGATTGACTAGCATTTAAGAGATTTTCAATCATATGCTTTTTCGTTTCTGGAAATCAGTGAGAAGACATCGAAAGAGGCCTCTTTGGTTGAGCATCACGTTGTTACAGATCTTTATGGACATTCTCAGGATTGTAGTCATGTCATCCTTAAGCTTGGTACGGTTATATCCCTTTGAATTATCTGAGAATGCTGCATGAAATTCCTTCAAATTTGTCTTAGAACTCTCTACACAATCCCTAAAACTTTTTTTAGAACTGCGTTTGAATCCACCTTTAGTTCATTTTACAATTTTTGTTAAAATACTTCTCAAAATTGCCTTAAAATTTTTAACGAATTCCCTTGAAATTCACCACATAATTTCACTCTAACTATCCCTATATTTTCTTTAGAATTCTTCCCAAACCTCAAGTTCAACAATCTAAAAAATGACCTTGTCACTGATTTTTG